TATTTTATTATTACATAATAAAATATATTATATAAAATATAATATTAAATGTTATTACTTGTTAAAAATTGCGACTTCAAAGCGTGTAATTTGCTACTTATATTGTTATTCGTAAAACTATTTCGAATTTTCGGAATTTTTCAAGGTCTGTGTTACTAAACATTGTTCATAAAATTGTTTGTAATTAGCAATTTCTTTGTTATATAATTTACATTTCCAAATTAAATCATTCCGAATAAATGTGAATAACATTAAAGAGAAACTTAATTTCTCTAGAATCAATCTTGAATTGATTCGAAAATAGAGAGAAGCTATTGTATTTTGCTATTTTATTTTTAAATCAAGCAACAATAATCTGGATCATAAGAAAAAATGAATGGAAAAGAATTGCTATAAGCTTTTCAATTTCTACAAAGCTGATCTATGACCACCTAATAATTAAGAAAATGTAAACCACTATTCGACATTCAAATAAATGACAACAGTAACAAATAGAGATCCTATTAACAATGTAATTAAAGATTTAAAAAATTTGTAACGAATTGAAAGAAAACGAAGTATATTCCATTAATCTGGAGTTTGTTGTTAATAAAACGTTAAAAGTTAAAAAGCATTTCTGGAGGGGAGGAGGTTACGTAATAACAAAAGGAGAAAGCACATCTAATATTAATGTTGCCAAAAATATCCAGAAAATTTTCAACAATAGTTAAAAAAATGTGAACATCTTGATTTATAACTTTATATATACGTATTTTGAGCATATATTTCTTCCTATGTACAAATATTATTTATTCTCATAAATATACAAAATTAAAATTATTATGCTCTCCTATATTTTCTTTTACTTGTGCATGGATACGTGCGAGTGTGCATGTATACTAATATAATATATAGTATAGTAAAATTAAAAAAAATAAAATTAAGAAAATTCTTACTTGCAATGCTTAACCAAGAAAATCATAATTCGATACGTCTTCAAACTGCTGATTTTGTGCGTTACCGGGAGCCATTGGTCTCGTTGCTATTTGTCCTCTCGGACCTACCATTTGCTGTTGTACTCCGAATACTTGCCGAACGCTATATTGAGGTTGTGGCTGTAATATTAATTGCAATTTGTAATATAAATGTTTATTTTACATATCTTTATTTTTGTATATCATATCTATAAACATTAATACAAATACAGCTCAGTTTTTTTTTCAAGTTATCGTAAGTTCTCACCTGTTGTAATAAATGTCTGAGACCAAGATTGTTAGTGGAGACTGGACGCATCAATCGTTGAGAGTTCGCCTGTTGATTAGCCATTGCGGCCGGATTGAGGCCTCTCTGTGCTTGTTGCGCCTGTACATGTGTGAAAATAATTGTTTACTTCACAATACTAAAAATATATTTATTGATAAATTAAATTATCGTTTACCTCAAGTTGTTGCTTATACTGCATCTCTTGCTGTTGTGCCACTTCTAGATTTTGTTGAATCTGGACAAACAATATCGAACCATAAAAATTTCTAACTTTTAAATATTATTTTATTAAATACAAAAATATATATATTTACATTTACTTCCAATTGAGACTTATACTGTGCCTCTTGCTGTTGGGCAGCCTCTAATGTTTGCCTTAGATGTTGAATCTTTAGCAAATTTTGATGCCTGGCGATTTCTATATCATCATAAGGAGGTCTCTGTTGGCCGATCATACCTCCGGCACCAGTATTTGCTTGTGGACCATTAATTCCGCTATTCTGTAAACACATGTGTAACATTTTCTAAATATATCTAACCAATATATAATTATTATTTTATTCCATAGAAATGCTAGAACATTGTATTACCTGCATATTCATTTGAGTCATTTGGGGACCGCTGGTCGAAGTTAAAGTTTGTGGAGGAGCGGTGGACACGACATTCTGTGTTATTTGACCACCTCCCATTGCCATCGTATTTGTTTGGGACATAAGAATACCCCCCTGTGTACCTGTAGTAGACATGGGTGCGGGAATCGTATTACCCGGTCCAGGATTAGCCTAACAAAGTTATAAGAGTTACTATCTGATTATTTTCTTTTTATCAATTTCGCGTATAAGTAAATCTTATTACCTGTCTTACAGAAGCGTTTTGAGACGTTTTCTGCTGTTGAATAACCTTGCGAAGACGATCTACAAAAGCTGTTTGATCGTTTGGAATAAAACCTAAATACGTTTTTTTGTCTATAGTATACAAAAGTATAAGTACTTTTATTTCACAAGCTGGACTTGATGATGCAGAAGTGAAATGAACACAGCCTGCCTGAAATATATTGAATTTTGAATATTATTATAAACATTGTCGCAGATATATTATTCATAGCATTTACTCAGCCAAAATAAAAAAACACGTGTATAATGCATAGCAATAAATACACTTACAAATCCAGCTGTCATCATTTTTGTTAAGGATTCTAATGCTTCACATGGCGTCGGGTGAAATACAACAGATTTAGAATTCTTCAGATAGGTACCACCAATACTTCCTATCAATTGTTTCGGCATCAATTGCATTATCAATTTAGGCGGCCATGTATCCGCTTTCCTGAAAAGCAAATATCGTGTAAAATAAAAATACGAAAAGGTTTGTTAACAATAGAAAACAATCATTTACAATTCCGGATCTCCGTCTTTCGCATTAGCGGAAACTTGACACGGGACATGTCTCGTTTGTTTTTGCGCATCTGTTGGATTTTTAGCCTTTTCGATCCATTCTACGATACCTTGCCAGATGTTCTGGCGCTCGCGCGGCACAAGTTGTTGATTTTGTACAGTACCAGTAGATACATTGCCCTTGAAAAATTATAGAATCAATATTATTTTATTATCTATTTTTTATAATCCTTTGTGACTCAAGATAGCTTTTCCCCTGATTCACAGTGTTTAATAAACTATAAGTTATATATTTTTATCTCATTCTAATTTTTATTTTATTCTATATACCACTCTATTGCACGTTTTAATCCTTTATCCTTTTGTTTATATATAAAATTTATATAAATATAATAATGTAATTTTTGATTACTTGTGCCTGAGAGTGAGTAATCTGTTGCGTAATAGAAGATACTGAGACCGGTGCTTGTTGTGAAGCAGTAACAGTTTGTGAGACTTGAGTAGGTACAGATTGGCTAATACAAGAAGCAGTAAGCTGCGCTCCTGGTTGACTATGAGTCGGTTGAGCAGCCATAGACATGGTAGCCTGTTGAACATTTTGCTGCTGCAACTGCATCGTCAAGCGCAGTTGTTGCTGTTGTTGCGTGAGTTGCTGCTGTTGCTGTTGCTGATTAGCTGCCATAACATTATTGCCAGCCACTATAAAATAAATGTAAGTTATCTAGAACGTAATCTATAAATAAAATAAATAAAATGTAAGTTACAGAATTTTGTATGTCTAAACAGCATAAAGAATAAAAGGTAAGATCAAATAAGACTGCAAATGTATCAATACTTTTACCATCTAATCGTTGATTAAACGCAGCTACATTAAGTCCTAATGATGAAGGCGGTTGTGTTAATTGTGCTATTAGCGCACTGCCTTGTGTATTTGCAGGCGCGGTTGCACCTGGTGCTATGAATGGTCGCATCCATCTGGGCCTTGTGGCTATGTTTACTCCCGGTGGATGATAATTTGGTGGTGCGGCTATCTGAGGATTATAAGGCGGTCGGGCGGTATTCATTGGTGCCGCCATGGACGGCGTAACAGTTTGATGTACAGAGGTGATATTCTGAGGAGGGGCTTGGTTTCTGAAAGGAGGACCCTGCTGCTGATTCGGCGGAGCGATATTCTGCTGCACTTGATTAGTGTTAGGACTGTCGTTACTCTGCAGTGGACTTAAGGGTATTTGTGCAGCGGTAGCCGCAGTATTGTGAACATTACCGCCCATTTGGGGACTGACTGGTCGTTCCTTTAAATTGTAATTTCGCAGAAGTACTAAATGCCGTGGATCCTTGGCGTAATTCTTTGTTTGTGAGGACTGTAAATCACCGCCAGCTTTTTCAAATAATTTATACAATGCCGGAATTTTTCTTGGTGATAATATAGAAATATTAATATTCCTCTGAAAAATTACATATATATGTATATACGCATATACATGATGATCATCTCCTTATTATGTATTTACAATTTGTCACTCACCTCTTGATAAATAGTAGCTAATTGTTCAATGGTATGACCAGCGAATTTGTAAGTTTCTTGAATCATAGTTTGATACGGGGGCGAATTACATATTAAAATACAATGTTTTTGTGAAGCTGTATTTGGCTCTCGTCTCAGCTGCAAGTCTTCAAAACATAGTAATCCTGTTGCAAGACCTTCACCTATGTTTGCAAAAGATTCTCCCTTTCCACCAACCATTCTAGATGAAATTATTATTATTGATAAACTAAATTAATAAAAAGGATATATAATTTTTAAAATAGCAGTATTAATTATAAAAGATTTATTTATGAAAAATATTATGATATTAAACACTAAAGATATTATTAGATATTATGTGTTCTATACTCAAGCTTATCTAGAACCATCAGTAGCTTGTGAGGATTTGAATAAGGTCCTAGCGTCTCAGTGCATGGAGATGGTAAGCAATCAGCAGCATGATAAACGACTATTCCATATAATGTCGTGCTGTTCTGTTAAAACAAATTTCGATTGCAATAAAATAAATTGTAACTTAATTAATTTTCATATATTAAGAAATATAACTGTATATTGTATCATATACCTCAGCAACATATTCCCTATCTTCTATGCCACCTTGACTAAAATATCTATAATAAATAAAGAAAAAACACAAAAATTGACAAACAGATCCTTATTCTATATATAATATAGAAAGTATGATGCAATTAATGTTTATAATAAAGTTGATGATTGCATATAAATGTAATCAAAAATAGGATTATTTTTAATGATCAATTGATTTATGAAGTGATTTATAAATGTATGTTACATATTAAAACTTACTCCAATGTTGGAATAACATAATTTGTTTTAAGGTCATTAAGGTACGCGCCGTTAACGGCTGTTCCTTCAATGACGAATATAACATCAGCTTGTATTCCATGTTCAGTTGGTCCTGTCACCATGTTCTAATACACAAGAATCTTACTTAATTACTTAAATGTTATTTAATAAAATACATACAGAGTGTTCCGAATATAAGTGATCTATTTTTTTCAAAATGAAGTAACGAGTATATATCTTTAAAATTCTTTAGATATATCATATCTTTAAAGAATCTTAGAGATAAGATTTTTTTTCTTAGTTTATCGATCCCTTATACGCTCCCGAAGTTTGACTATTTAAATTCGGAACATCCTGTACATATAAAATCAAACTTTTTTCAAAGTTTTATTTAACTGTGTTATTTATATTATGTAACTATGATAAAAATAAAAGTTAAGATACTTGATTTTGTGTATAAAATATTTCAATAAGATAAACTTAATAAAGATAAAATTAATAAAGATAAAATTACATATTGAAGTTTCAAGCTAACCTAACCTAGACACGCTCCTTCAAAATTATGTTACTTGAAAGAATTTTTCTCTCTTTACAAACTTACGTTCAATTAAAATTTACAAATTCAGGCAAAAAATACGCTTGTTTATCAGCGCGTTTGTACAAATATGCATATAAATCACATAGACAAACTTTATTTTCTTTCTTTCTACGTTTACAACACAGCTAAACTAAACTAAACATAAAGCTCGTATCAAACTACTCGTTGGATCATGATGGACAGGAGAGTGGAGACGGTGGATTAAACGGATCCTCATACGGGCAACAGCGCTTTGAAACTGAACGCTGATTAATGAAAAACGGGTGATGGAGATAAATTTTATTACAACTGGCTTTTCATCAATAAAAAGAATAAAACGAAGAGTCCAGATTCTTACATAACGCATACATAAGACAACGTAACATATATAAGAAAATGTACCAATCAAACTTTTGTTTCACCCTTCGTTTCCTTCCTTTCCATGAAATAAAGAACTCTAATTGGTTAGATTTTTTATGTATTATGCATTATGTAAAAGTCTATGCTTTCGCTTGGCGAAGCGGAATGAACATCGAGTACTTATTTATTCGACGAGAAATTAAATATTTCGCGTTGATATTTTTATATCATTATTTTTCTACTCTTATAACTAATGTTTCGGAAATAGCTCGATTTACGTATTTCGAGCTTCAAAAAATAAAAAAAACCAAATATAATAAAAAGTCATAAGAAATAAAAGCAGAAAATAACCAATTTAATAATAACAAATAATAAGTTAACAAATTAATACCAATGAAAAATATACATAATTCATATAACATAATTATATTATATGTATAAATTATATATATTATTCGTCTTTGTTTAATCCACATAATAGTATGGAAAAAAACCACAAAAACACGGATATTATCCTATGAGGTTTATGGTACACAAAAAAGATCGGGATGTCCATTCTTAGGTTTCTTTCTGGTAAGGTAGTCCCACACTTTTCTGCCAGATGTTTTCATTTTATGTAAAAACGCGTCGAATGAGCCTAATTTTATCGAAATCAGAATAGAGGCAGTTCTTCTGGATAATTAACAGCGTGCTTTTCAACAAATGATTAGCTAACCATGTAATGATAGCTAACCATGTAACGCACTTGATCATTACATCCTTGTTGTTTGCCAATGTTAAACAAAGATGAAATGATGTTGTATCGCTTGTTAGATGGCACACGCTATGTATATTTAATCTTGTGCAATTTTGTGCTTTTGCTCGAATCATTCTGTTCATACGCGTCTGCCCGCTACTAATTGCTCAGCAATTATGAAAGGTTTTTCATTGTTGCGTAAACTGGCGCTGTCAGCTGTCAGTTTCGAAATATCTGTAACATTACGTTGTATATCGATCAAACTAAGGTCCTTCCTTATAATGATTAATGAAAGTAATATTTACAGGTACGAAGTATAAGCTATTGAGAATGGCAGTCTCGCGACGACATTAGAAACAATTCAGAGTGTCCGAATTGTGGATATTCATTTGTAACGTTTGCGAAGAATAAGTTGCTGAGCATGGTAATTAATTTGATTTTGATTTAACAAACTTATATTGTAATTTTTTAAATTCTATTAAAATTATTTTAAATCGAAAATTTTGTCTAGCTTGCTAAAATATTAAGATTATTTTTATTTTGGTATTTTGAGGAAACTACAATTTGATCATCTTACATGTATGCTCGTTTATTTTGAGGCTAAAGTTTTCAACAACTCTTCAATAATAAATCTTTCAGATATTTTTCGATAATGAATTGAACTGGAGACCACTACATAGATAAGACATGTTTTTATCTATGTAGATAATTTTAATCTTAGTTTATTCTTTATATTTTTTATATTCTATATTCTTTATATTTTTTATATTATGTATTCTTTATATTCTTTATATTATATTTATTCTTTTTCTAATTCTTAAAAACTAAAAGAAAAAACCTGGAGAACATAAAGTAATGTTCCATCTATATTATAATTTATATATTTAATATAACTATTATGTACATTGTATAACATATGTATTATGTCATTTATATTACTGAGTAGAAAATTATAATTATAATGTAATACTATTGTGGTTCGTATTCTGTGGGAAGTAAGTTAAACTGAGATTAAGATTCATCTACATTGCTATTGACATAAATGAAATAAGTCAAACAGCATTAAAGATACAATTGAGCCTGGAACTTGGTATCTAATATTTGTATAATATGTGTGAATTTTAAATACATCTTCTAATTATATAAATTATGAATCTCAATTGCTTTGAAACGCAATTATAATGTCTACTGAGTTATTTGATTAATTCTATTTTTTTTTCCATAGGCATCCACATCGAAGAAACAAGCTCACAAGAAGAACATGATAAAATTTGAATTAACCGAAAAACAGAAATCTGACATAAAGGAAGCATTTGATCTATTCGATCCGGATGGCACCGGAAAAATTGGTATCAAGGATCTTAAAGTTGTTCTTAGAGCCTTAGGATATGAACCGACAGTGAAAGAATTACAGACACTCGTAGCTGATGTCACACCAGAATGTCCTAATTCGTTATCTTATGAAGAATTCATGAAAATAATGTTAATTAAAATGACAGATGTAGATGAAAGCCAAAGCGAAATAATAAGGGCATTCCGACTTTTCGATGATGATAAAACAGGGAAAATATCCTTTAAAAATATCAAACGAGTTGCGATGGAATTGGAAGAAGAGTTGACTGATGAAGAAATATTTGATATGATCAACCAAGTAGATGAAGATGGCGATGGAGAAATATCATTAGAAGAATTTATAAAACTCTTTAAGAAGATGTCATGTTAATTTTGTATTAAGTTACATTCACATTTATGTCGAGTTAATGCAGAAACATAAACGTATTTTTAAATTAATAATGTGTATTGTATTAATATATTCTAAATGGAAGACTGATATCTCAATATAATTATCTTTTAGTATACTTGTCAACGATATTTTTATAAACTTTTATTTATTTAGATGTTTAATGTGCCACGAGTGTGTAAAAATAAATAGCATTAACTACATTCTACGTATGTTAACATTTAATTTGTTCTTTTCAAATCCTATACAGTCCAATTTCAAAAATTTATAATAAAGATGTAACTAAGAAAAAATATATATA